GATAAACAACTAGATGTAATCAGGTTATCAAAGGCAAGTAGAGTTACAAATCTCTCCTGCATGGTAAATCTAGACTTTTTTCCCCCCTTTGATTGTTCTTGTGATAGTTGTCACAATACATGATTTAAACTGAGCACCGATGCTGGACTTCATGATTTATATCCACCTCTTCCTCCCTTTTTTGGCAAGGCTATCTCACTGTACGGTTTAATTTGATTATATCGAAAGCCTTTCTCCCCATCTTTAACTGTTCAAGTATGTATGTTGTAATCAGTAAGTTTATTGCTGTGAAATGACTTCTGGTGGTAGAGAAAGGGTTCTCTAACCGCTCTTTTGTTTCGTTTTTGTCAGACAAACTCCCTGTTATGTGGGTGGCATTTTTCTTGAGGTCTGATGCTGTCTTAGCTTTGTATAGGGAAGGAAAAAAAACATTTTTTCTCTTGTGCTCAATTAATAGCTTTATCATCTTTTTATTTTTGCACCATTTTTTTCCTTTTCTCTTTAACAAAAAGTAAATATGTATAAAATTTGAAGGAACCGAACTAACAATACATTCTGTGTATATTATTTTAATGAAGAAAATAAATTGATTACTGGCATTAGAGCAGTATAAAGTACCCGTTTGTACAGTATGACCTATGTGTGACCATGTTACTCCCTTCCATTTCCCAAAAGGAAAGACACAATTGCAGCTCACAGTACTGGCTCCACTCCTTGGTGCTGGCAGTGTTTGGGGACATTATGCTGGAAAGAGCTTCTAGCGTGAGAGGATTAACACTAGCAGACTCTGTTCCGTCTTTGCACTGTGGCTTAGCTGCTGACTCTGAATTGTTCTCGTGCAATTGACAATGTGCTAACATGCTTTTTCTCTTTTTGGAAACATTTGCATCACAGGCTGCATATCTTGCCTTACTGTATAGAAAAAGAAAAGGCTGGGTTTCTTACTGCACATTTTAAGCTTTTATACTTCATCTTTTTCGATTGGTGAGATTCTGAACCTGACAGAACTGCAGTTCTAGGATTTTAAATTGTGCATTTTTTACACTTCAGCCAAGTAATTTATCTCTGTGCTCACTGTATGAAGGGGCTGTTTAATGCCATGGCACCAAGCTGTTTTGTGAAAGGGAAGTGTTTCAAAAGGTGAAATGCTTGTGCTCATACAAAACAAGTTATGACTTTGTATTAGGTAGTTTGGCCACTGAAAGAATACTGTATTTTAAGAGAAACAATTTTGATTTCTCTAGACAAAGCAGTTTGATTACTCTGCTGTTCACGGGTTTTAATTCAATTTATGGTTTCAGAGGCTAGGAATCACGATGTTATTTGAAATTCATAAACCTTAGCACATATACAAAATGCAATCAGCTCAACTGCTGTGTTCAAAATACACACTTTAAATCCCTCCTTAAGGACACTAAAGTAAAAGTACATCTTCCTGGCTTATAAACATGTGGTAGTACCAGAGTATTATATAGTCAACGTTAAATAAAAGCCAAACCTGGAATGTGCAGACAATAGGATTTGGTTAATCTGTGGACTCATCTTTATTTTTGTCTTTAAGCTATTTACAAAACAGGATTCCTGAAATCCATTGGTATTCTGTTAGAGACTTAAAGTGATCCATTTTGCTTACACTGTTGCATCACAAGGAACTTCTCGCACAGGGACCATGACCAGCTGGTATGTGTATATATTTACAAAATAAGACAAACCCACCACCCATTGAGATCTAAGGTAGCAGTCAGACTGAAGACTGCAGCTTGTTCCGGTGCAGTACCCTGATCCCAAAGCTAATTACAGTGGGTCTGCAGTGGTGTTTGTGACAGACGGATTTATTTAGACTGCTGTACTCTTTCTTCATTTGATGTAACAAAATGCTATTAATCTAAATATTTGTAAATAAAGTACCTGTATCTAGATTACATTAAAATTGGCTGCATTATTTTCTGAATTGTAATAGGACTTACTTTCTTCAGGCACACATTTGACTTGTTAGTTTTATCGCCTATTTTGCAATATGCCGTATTTTGCCTCATTTGCCTTTATTGCAGAAAGAGAACACCATAATGGAGCATATAAACATCAGTGACAAGCTAGTTTCAGCCTGGTGTTAGCATCTCAGTGTTCAGTGGTTTGCAGTGTGAATGAAGTCAGCACCCCTAATGGCTGATTGTATTCTCCCTAACTATACTTGGGGCCAAATTCTGTTATTTGCATGTTCAAGCCTCTAAATAAACTTGGGTGCTCAGAGGAGCAAGTTGTCATCCTGTAATACCCATGTGCCAGGTACTAGGCAGTACACTTTGGAGAAAATGGGCAGCTCTCTTAATTTTTAACTGACAACTACTTCCTGCTCATGCAGTCACCCGCTTCTTTAGGTTACTCATTGCCCTTGCACCTGGAGGAGGCCTCCCTTATTAGCACTCAGTGCTTAGTACTGCTTATGTGTTAGGCATTCCCCATAATTATGTTCACGTATTTTTCATGGACAATAAAGTGTTTGGCGCAGCATCCTTGATTTTTTAACTGTGTCTTGAAACCACGTACTGCCTCACTCTAGTTTGCAAGACCATAGTTTGGAGAATTTTTGTCTTTATGTCTGCTATTTTCGGTGATCTTTAAAAAAAATGTCTGGTTCTGTTCAGTCCCCTTAAGACAAAATGTGGCCATTTCCACCCCCATCCAGCACAGTGGTTATGCATTGGGCTGCAAATCACATGATCAGCAGTTCAAAATCTTTAACATCTGGGGGTGGGTAGTGGTGAGGTTGGGGGACGGAGCCTTGTAGTCCCATAAACAGTTACAGTCTTGGAAATGTACAGGGGCAGATCTACCCTGTCCTGTAGGCTCACTTTAAGTCGGCATCGGGTGCGTTTGGGGCTTTTGTTTACCCAGCCCAGTCCAGGTTCAAAAAATACGTGTGAGTAGGCCAGGCTTTTTTAACATTTTGCTCAGACTTAAAAAAATGAAAGAATGTAAAATATAAAAGACACTAACATCGTAAGTTTTCTTTTGGAAATAGATGCCTTCTAAAACTTCATTGTAAATAAATGTTATGCCGTTTTCATTGTCTTTTATTTATCCCAGGTCTTGATGGTCCAGTTCTAGCCAAAGTAACTTTTCAGAACTGTTAGATGCTATTCTGTATTGTGTTAACATAGTATGTCTGCTATGGTTCTTAAAAAGGAGTCCTGCTGGCGCTGTGGGTTAGGCAGTGGGCTGCTCCCCGAAGGCCAGCAGCTGAAACTCACCAGCCAGTCTGGGGAGATGAGCTGTTAGGAGTCTGTCTAGCTTTATGTTTACGGTCTCAGAAACCCTGTGTGCTTTGAGTTGGAATCCACTTGATGGCCTAGTGGCTTGGGAAAGAGTACTAAAACCGAAATCTATTAGTTCATGTTTCACTTTTCTCCCTGAGGATTCTGTTGCCATACAACAGTGACTATAATTGTTATCCTTCTTTCTAAAGAAGGATTACATCTAAATTCTGGAGGTAAGCTCTTAATTATTGTAATGTATAAAGTTTTAATGTCCCAACAAAAAAGTTAAGTATTTTTTGGCTGAGGGAAACCACTTGTATTAGTTTCACAATAATTATTTCCAAATGAATTAATGCTTAGTTGTCAGTGCAGCATATTGTCAACCTCTAGGCAAAAGGTGGATGTCTTATTTGTATGTAAGGTGGCCATTCTCATTAAATTACTTTAAACATTTAGAGATAGAAAGGCAGGAGCCAGTTTGATTTTCTTTTATTTTCATATGAAAATAGAATTTAAGCAAAATCCAAAAATAACTCTCGGCACTATATAAATGAAAGGCTTAATTTAAGTACAGTTTCTTTGTTACTGTATGTATATATCAGTTTACAGATTCAAACTTGCAGTTATTATAAAACATTCCTTAGAGAAAACTTCTGCCACCTAGGACCCTGGTTTAAGTTGCATACAACTATTCCCATATGTACAAGTGAGTGATTGACAAGAAACCTTGGTATTAATGGAACAAGAAAAGCTACGCTGCCATTTCAGCATCTGAATTCAGTGGATTTTTGCTAAAAAACACACACAGAAAAACCAAGTGGCATTCTAACTATGGAGTCAGTGAGGTAGTAGAGAAGGTAATCGTTTCCTCATTTAGGCAACAGAATTCTGCGTGTGGCTGATCCGTTTTTCCTCCTAAAAGACAGGATGCATTACACATTAACCAACAGTAAGAGCATAAGCAAAATCAGAACTGAATGATAGCATAATGCTTAGTAGGTTAAATGCAACGGGGCTTTAAAAGGTTTGTGGGAAAACTGAATTAAAAGATAACGGAATTTTCCCATGACCTCTTTGAAGCCCCCTTGTATATATGTGAGTACCTGTTTTTGAGAAATGTTTTAAGATAAACCACTAAGAAAAATTACAAAAGGTTAAAGGGTTCATTTTTCTGATGAGATGGTTTTTATATACTAAGATGTTCCAATTGAATTAAAGAGCTAAAGAATTCTACACTGCACGCACATACCCTGTGAGCAAGGTGAGGGGAGTGGCATCAGTGTAGGTAACTGTCTTGGGATCCTGGCAGGCCTGGTAGAAACTGGTAGAAGGAGCTCTGAAAAGGGTGGGAACAAGAGTTAGTTTTAGAAATCAGCCCCGAACTCAAACCTAGTCCAGACTTTTATCTCACATAGGTCTGGACTACCACTCCAGGTTCCTGAAATAATTCTAACACTTTCAACCTACCCAGAGGGCCTCTTAATGCCTCCTGCCAACAGCCTCTTGTCTTTAGAGCACTTGGATTCTTCCCAGCTGCCACCCTGAGCTGGTGACTGCACCTGGCTCCAAGTCCACTGTGCTTTTCAGCTATCTTACCTCGATAGCCCACCACTTTTTCAGTGCCACGTACGTACCTCTCACTCTCTTCCTTAACCCTTTTCAGACATAATTATTCTGAATTCCTTTGTCAAAGTCATGTTTTCCAGTAATGATGGAAGGGGGTGAGGGTGAAAGTAATATATTTTGATACAATTAGACACTTAAGTCTCAAGGGGTCTCAGTGCTGGGATTGATGGGATGAGGCCTCTTCAGATTCACACAATTCTACAGGCCCCCACCTGAAAGGGGGATAGGAGCTTTCCACTAAACCCTAGAGGCAGAGAAAACTGTTGGGAGGACACGGCCTCACTGGTCATGAAAGTGTTAAGCTCTGTCCAGAAGCCCAAGATCCATTTGGAAATCCTGACTTCGGTCCTATGCCACCACAGGAGGTATTAACTATGTTCAAATCTTGGCCCTGCTACTGCTGATTAGTAGCTTATGAAAGTGGTCATTGTTTTTGTGGCTCAATCACTGGAATATAATTGCTCTGTGGCAAAGAACAACAGATTTGCCCCTGGAGCCCTGGCTTTGTTACTTGCTGTGACCTTGACCAGGTAATTTACCATGTAAAGCTTTTAGCATGCTTGCAGATACCTTAAGAACTAAAACATGGCAGCTACTATCTAATACTGTACTATTACTTAGGTATCCCAGGAGTTTTATTTCATGTTACCTACTTTAATTACTCCCTTGAACTTCAGTTTTACACAGAAAACCTTAAGTAAAATTCAGGGTTTTTTTATTGGCCCAGGTTAAAAGTAGCAGCAGGCACAGGCACAGCATCTTTCTCCAGAAGCAGACAGACAACCACGGCTCAGGCTGGCCTCGATAAGGCCGAAGCGCCATACCAACCAGGTAGAGGCAAGGCATTCCAGGAGTGGAGACCCAGAATGCCCTGCAGTCACCCACTTCCAGCTCTAGCCATCAGCGTGTCCTTCCTCACTGGGATCTTGGAGGGTTTTTTTGAAAACCCAAGTCTGTCTTCAGACAAGTTTCTCAGGGGTTTATGTCCTAAGTCTCCTCTAGGAAACACCACAAAGCTTTCAGCTACTCTCCATGTACCAGTGCGTGTAATACTTTCCTCTTACCTGGCTTTGTCCAGTGATGGAAGACTCCGGCTGAGACAGACTGGGTGACAAAGAAGTTGAATCTGCAGAGGTGCTGGTGACTAATTCCCCTAAGGCATCAACTTGCCTCCTTAAACTGTGTAAAGTGCCTTCAGTCTGCTGCTTTCCTTTAATTAAAACTTCTGCTTGTTTGGACATACAGTGTCGGAGTTGAGCCTGGAAAATGTGATAAAATTCAAGGTTTTAGACAAAATGAATATGCCAGAAATATGAGTTGCTTCCTAAATTTTAACATTTGATAGGCAAATCTGACCACCAGGAAGTGGGGATGGTTGCTGGAAATGCTTTTGCCCAAAATGAAAGGTATTGTGGGAAATGTGCCAGATGGATAACGCCTATGTCCGTTTCCTATCCCTTAAATTTCTACTTCATTTCTCAGCCATGATTTTAAAAGATTATACTGGCTGAGAAATGAAGTAGAAATTTAAGGGAGACGAATCTGACACAGAAACCCTAAGCCTTGTTACAGTGGAGAGAGAACTGTTGAGCTGGAGAGAGAACTGTTGAGCTGATGAACCCAGCATGGTACCTGTTTATGTATCTGGCACTGTCTCGTCCTCAAGCCCAGCCTACTTTCTAGCACCGTGAGATGAGTCTGCACAGCAAGGCTGTGCCACAGGACTTTCTTGAGGTTCATAATGTGACAATTAAGAACTAAATTGTAAACTTAAGAACTCACTGCCATTGAGTCGACCTCAGCTTCTATGCCAACTCAGAGACCCACCCTCTAGGACAAAGTAGAACTGCCCTGGTGGGTTTCTGAGACAAACTTGACGGGAGTAGAAAGCTTCGCCCGTGTAACAGGTGATGGTTTTAAACTGCTCAACAAACAGCCCAATGCACACCCACTACCACCACGGCTCCTCCTGTTTGTTTAGAATTCATTTAAGATGTAAACAGCCCTTGGTGACCCGAAGTTACTGCTGTATGGTGTGGCCTGATGGCACTACTTGGTCTCAGTCCATGCTGTGCAGCCTCTCCCCAAACACCAACCCTGCCCTCTTGCCATATATTTGATCTACATTTCAACTCCCTCCAATACTCTTTAGCTTGAGAATCTCTTAAGTCTACACCTAGGTTTTTTCTTCTTTTTTAAACACCTAAATCTTAAGATCAATAAAGTTCTCACTCCTATTTTTAGTTGCCTACAGATAGTACAGTATGTCCCACAATATCCCATAGAGGTTTCGAACATAGTATGTTCTGGGCCAAACTACTCTGAAGCAAAAGCCACTTTCCAATATTCCTAATTTCCCCCCAACCACTGGCCCGTGATCTGACTTTTGTCACTGTATCTCAAAAGTGGCTTTCCTGTCCTAAATACTTAGGTTCCACTGGTTTTAAATGAGGCAAAGCATACTACACAGAACACTGACCTCCATCATGGAATCTATAAAACTGCTGTCTGTGCTACAGTGGAGTGAGTGTGAGAGCAGTATGTGAACATGACAGCTTCCCCAATGTACCAGCTATCTTTAGAGGGAGTTTTGGGGTGTAAAAGGCAACCTTGAGTCGATCTTCCCGGTGCCGCAGTTTCTCTCGAAGAGCTTCCCCACGCCACTGTTCATCCTTTGTCGTAGGGAAAAGGGGCGTATCAGTAATCAACCAGCCTGTCCCTCCTCCCACACACGCCCCCTCCCCCCCTAATCTAGGGGCAAGTGGGCACTAGTCTTTCCAACATCCAAATTACCCTTCAGTGTAGTCCAGAGAACAGTAGGCTTAATCCTTACCATGATGTTAACTTGGGTAAAGTTCCGTTTTTCTTCAAAAGGTGAGGGCCTTTCACTCATGGTGAATGGCAGGTTCTCTTTCAAGCTTTCCAACTCTCCTTCTAAGTTTTCGTTTCTTTCAAACACAGAATCCAGTTCTACTGGTAGCTCTGGAAGACACTGGTTGAGATTCTTGAGGCTGGTCCTGATTTCATCTTTCACTTCGGACTTAAGGGTCCTCATTGCTTCACTGATTTCCATTTGTCTTCTCTCCAAATCTTTTTGGTTTGCCATCTTAAAGGGGAGGGAGAGCCATATAGTTCAGTTCATCGGGTAAAGTCAGGAACTTGCTGGAAATGAGCTACCGTACGTACTCCAGTATAACCCAAGTTTTACGGCACATTTTTAATGCAGTTTTTGTGGTAAAATTTGGTGCCTCGGCAGATACTGGGGTCAGCTTATACTCGAGTATATGTGATTTAATGTTTCACTATATAAAGATTTATGTGCATATATTTATAGGTCTAGTATTAAGGTAGCAGATGGACATTGGGCTTCTACTCAAGTACTCCCTCAATGCAAGAATACTTTCTTCTATTAAATTGGCATTCTATGATGCTCACCTTCCTGACACAATCACTGAAGACAAAGCGGGTGAATAAGCACTCACCTTCCTGACACAATCACTGAAGACAAAGCGGGTGAATAAGCAAATGTGGTGAAGAAAGCTGATGGTGCC